ATACACGCATTGTCCGCTGATAGCACATTAACAACTGCTCTTTTTGCCATAATTTTTCGCGGTAATTTGACATGGCATCCTGCGCGCATTGGATTATACTTGTTGATATTCACTGTCAAATCTATTATCCGCGACAATGCCCAGCCGCTATCGCGTTCCTGGAACTCTTCTAGCAATGCTAGCGTGGGCTCGATTACGCGGCGATCGTACCACTCGCGTACATCAGATGTGCGAAAGAGTTCAAAGTTTCTCGTGTTGATACTTTTATTGGCGCGCTTGTCACCGGACACAAATTCATCGTTGAAAACAGTGTTCACTTTTACACTGATGTGTCTCTGCAACACATTCTCCACGTTCTCGACTACAATGTCTGCGGCATTTTCCAAAAATTGACGCGGTTCGATATAGTCTGCGTTAATTACCGCACCGGTCAGTATACGGCTATCGAACGCTGTATCGATCTCGCGCCAAACGAGTCTTTGTACGTTATTGCCGCCGCCACTAAATCCACCGCCGCCACTAGGCATGGATTCACCGACATACCGTCTCTGCAGACGCACCTTTGCACCCTCGAGTCGCGTTATTCTAGCCACCAGAGATTGTCTATGTCCAATCGAAAGACGCGGACGCTTGACACGGTTGCGTTCTTCCAGCTCTTCGATAAACTCTTCGCACTCTTGCAGCCATCCGAAATATTCGCCCAAGATAGTGACTTGGCGGGAACGCTTCAACAGGTCGCGCTTAACGTTCTCCATTTTTTGTAAAAATTCACTTGTACTGCACAGAAATAACTACTTGTGATCACTAAACTTTTTTTCGTGCACCCCGAATGAAGAGAGCGTGCGCTCGCCAGTGGTCCGGCAGCTGCATCGGTCCTCATTATATATCCCGATCATCCCTTTGTTCTTCAACGTGCGATGATGCAATTGTTAATTCGCAAGAAATATTTGCGATATCTACCCGCCGATAGAAATACATAGACACGTCACAACCTGCGAAGATATGTCGCAACGCGTTCGCCCCCGCTGATATTTCTTAGAAATATACGTATCAATCCCTTGATCGTCGGCGCTCACCAAAGAATCGGTGGCAGCTATTCGCAGAATTTTTATCTTATCTTCAGAGAAAATTTAGATGAAGAAACGCAACCCCCTTAGTAATAGATATCTGAATGTCGGCGCTCAAGCCTGGATTAAGCGGCAGCCATTCGCAGAATTTTTACCTTATCATGGGTAATAAATATCGCTGTAATAAATATCTAATTGTCGGCGCTCAGCCTGGATTCTGCGGCAGCCCTTTGCACAATTTGATTAACCAGAATTTTTTACCTTATCTTATCTTGTAATAAATAAACTTATCTTGGATTTTCTACGAAAACTTAGATAGCGCTGGAATGTTTACCTTATCTTGGGTATTAGATATCGCTGTAATAGATATCGCTGGAATGTTTATCTTATCTTGTAATAGATATCGCTGGAATGTTTATCTTTTGTTTATAAACATATCAGGTAACATGATCCCCTTATCAGGTAACCTGAGCTGATAAGATAAGCTTATCTGCTGATAAGACCCTCTCCCCGCGTGACGTCACCCCCCTCACCCCCGATTCCCCCCCGCCCCTCACCACCCCTCATTGCCCCTGGGTTAGAACCCCCCTAGTATTACCACTTGTATATACATAATTTTTAACCAATCTACTTTGTTTTTCTTGTCCTAAATAAATTTTTAATTAAAAATAACAATACAAGATATCTACTATTAAATTTTTAATGATTCCCAAGATCTAATTCGTGAAAATGCAACATAAAGTTGTCCGCGACTAAAAACATATTTTTTTAAATCGATTGCAATTTTATTAAATGTTTGTCCTTGTAATTTATTTATGGTCATAGCAAAAGCTAATGTAATTGGAAATTGTCTTCTTTTAAATACAAATGAGTAAACATCTTCACAGTATAAAGTTATATGATTTAAAAAGATAATTTCTCTTCTTTTATCACCAGTCAGAATTTCATATTTTAACAAATTATTTCCTACCCACACAGCAAAATTGATCCCGGGATCATCTTAATATTGTCCAATTTCTGTCTCGGCAGGACAAGACGTCTTATGACTGTCCATAAGAGCTATCAGTAAGACTTTGATCTACTCAAGATTAATATAGGATGATTTGAGGATGTCCTGTTATTACAGTGCATAGACGAGCAAAGCGCACTCTCTATAAGACATCCCATAGATATCTCCATCGACAAATTCGGAAGTAAAATTATATCTTATAGACGTCTTGTTACTTCTTTCTTTTCGCATATTTTTCAGAGACGTCTTATGGCTGACCATAAGAGAAACCAGTAAGACTTCGATCTATCCAAGGTTAATGTAGGATGATTTGAAGATATCCTGTCATAACAGTGCATAGACGAGCAAAGCGCATTCTCTATAAGACATACTATAGATATCTCCATTGACAATTTCGGAAGTAAAATCATATCTTTTAGACGTCTTGTTACTCCTTTCTTTTCACATATTTTTCTGACGTCTTATGGCTGTCCATAAGAGAAACCAGTAAGACTTCGATCTATCCAAGGTTAATGTAGAATGATTTGAGGATATCCTGTCATAACAGTGCATAGACGAGCAAAGCGCACTCTCTATAAGACATCCTATAGATATCTCCATCGACAATTTCGGAAGTAAAATCATATCTTTTAGACGTCTTGTTACTCCTTTTTTTTCACATATTTTTCAGACGTCTTATGGCTGTCCATAAGAGAAACCAGTAAGACTTCGATCTATCCAAGGTTAATGTAGGATGATTTGAGGATATCCTGTCATAACAGTGCATAGACGAGCAAAGCGCACTCTCTATAAGACATCCTATAGATATCTCCATCGACAATTTCGGAAGTAAAATCATATCTTTTAGACGTCTTGTTACTCCTTTCTTTTCACATATTTTTCAGACGTCTAATGGCTGTCCATAAGAGAAACCAATAAGACTTCGATCTATCCAAGGTTAATGTAGGATGATTTGAGGATATCCTGTCATAACAGTGCATAGACGAGCAAAGCGCACTCTCTATAAGACATCCCATAGATATCTCCATCGACAAATTCGGAAGTAAAATCATATCTTATAGACGTCTTGTTACTCCTTTTTTTCACATATTTTTCTGACGTCTAATGGCTGTCCATAAGAGAAACCAATAAGACTTCGATCTATCCAAGGTTAATGTAGGATGATTTGAGGATATCCTGTCATAACAGTGCATAGACGAGCAAAGCGCACTCTCTATAAGAGATCCCATAGATATCTCCATCGACAATTTCGGAAGTAAAATCATATCTTATTGACGTCTCGTTACTCCTTTTTTTCACATATTTTTTTCGACGTCTTATGGCTGTCCATAAGAGATACCAGTAATACTTTAATCTATCTAAGGTTAATGTAAAATGATTTGAGGATATTCTGTCATAACAATGCATAGACGAGTAAAGCGCATTCTTTAAAAAGCGTCCCATAGATGTACCAATCGACAAATTCAAAAGCAAAATCATCTCTCTTATAGACGTCTCGTTACTTTTTCCCTTCACATATTTTTTAGACGTCTTATAGCTGTCCATAAGAGATACCAGTAAGACTTTGATCTATTCAACGTTAATATAAGACGACTTATGATTTAAGAATATTCTGTCATAATAGTGCATAGACGATCAAATCGCTTTCTATAAGATATTTTATAGATATATTAATGAACAAGTTTGAAAAGAAAATTATATTTTAAGGAGGTTCTACAATGCGTTGCCAATGTTCAGTTGCCAGTTGCAATAGCCGCGAAACCTAATTATGGACGTCGACTTAACTTGATGCTAATTAGATCATACGATAAAGTCATAAGACGTCTAAGAAATATGTGAACAAGAAAAAGTAAGAGTATCATTACATACGGCATAACTTGCGCTGACCAATCGCATCGTATCATTTTAATATAAGCGGAAAGTAATATTTAAATGAGACGATGTGATTAAATTGGTCGGCGCAAGTTACGCTTACGCAAATTACGCCGCATGTGACGGCACCCTAACGAGACGTTTATGAAAGATAATATTGCTTTCAAATTTGTCCATTAATATATCTATAAAATATATTAAGTTATTTTTACAATGGCAGTAAGCGGTATAGAGTAATAAGTAAGAAATAAGTAAGAATCATATATCTTATTACTTCTTATATTCCTTACCTGTATTGCTTATATTGTTATTGTAAAATGGGCTTATTATAGAAAGTGCGATTTGATCGCCTATGCATTTTTGACAAGATATTCTCAATGACAAGATACTCATCATCCTGTATTAACTTTTGGGTAGATCAAGGTGTCTTACTGATATATCTTGTAGACAGCCATAAGACGTCTAAACCATATAATAAGTATTAAATATAATATTTTATAATATTTTATAAAAGAAACATTTTTAGTAATATCATCTTTTTGACTCGACTCAGTTATCGAATTTAAATCCTTGTCCTCTCACCTCTCACCTATTTTTATTTGTTATTATTTATATTATTTTGAAGTGAATGGGATGAAATTGGTACGACTAATATTACGAATATATATATTTAAGAAAAAAATTCTATTCATATAAGTCTATGGCTAGCACCGAGATAACACGGACACGGGCGCTTGCCGTAGGCTGCGTTCGGGGAGACGCTATTAGCGCTGATAGCATCATTTTATCTTTGTCACTCACTAAAAGTTAAATGAAGATAGACCGACGCTGTTTAGCGTCTCCGAAAGCATTCGTAGTATGCGCTGGCGTCGGCGCTGGCGCTGACGCTGACGCAGGCGCCGGCGCCAGCGCGGTCGCGCCATTTCTTCTAGCAGTGTGTTGTTCATCTTCCGATCTCGTGTTCACTTGTTTTTACGAATACATGGTGGACGGTTCGTACAGATTTTGTAAGTGATCGACGATATTATTTGTGCATAGTGGAGAGTGGAGAAGAAAAAACTTGGCTATTATTATAATAGCTTATTCACGTTGAATTGAGGTAAGTCATTGTGAAAAAAATACGTATTTTCTCTTACCATGTTTACGTTCCACAACAAAGAAAATTTTATGCAATAATATACGTTATTTGCATTGCATTGAAAAAAATTATCTTGGAGAGTACGTTTTGGAACGTAACCCCAAATAATACATATAATTATCTATCAGGAGACGCGGTAGTGTCTCCGGCCATGTTCAAACCCTAAAAGACCTTAAAAGACACTACAAGTCTCCTTATCCTGCACCATCAAAGTCCATTTTTTGGGGGTGTAGAACTACTAAAATATAAAAAATTTTGAATTGCACGTAACATAACCTGAAAGGCGGCATCGCCACGAGTAATTTGAGCCAAGAAAAAATAAAATCGGTCAAGCCGTTCCGGAGATACAAGCGGTCAAAAAGTGACGTTTTTCATGAAAAATTAAGAAACGTCGTCTTCTTCTTCTTCTTCTTCTTCTTCTTCTTCTTCTCTGTCCGCGTCCGCTGACGTCATCAGGATTATATATATATATAAATCTCTTCTCACCTTTCACTCACACCTCCCTCAACTTCCACCCACCCCTTTCCCTCCCACATCCCGCCCCACCCCCCCCCCACTCCCACCCTCTTTCGCCCTAACTCACCCTCTTTCGTCCTATTTTTTCAGTCTTTTGTTCTCTCTCACCCTCTGTTGTCCTCTTTCTTTCACCCTCTTTCACCCTCTTTCGTCCTCTTCACCATCTTTCGCCTCTTTCACCTCTTTCGTCCTCTTTCGTCCTCTTTCGTCCTTTTTCACCATCTGTCGCCTCTTTCACCCTCTTTCGTCCTCTCTCACCCTCTTTCATTCTCTCTCACTCTTTCATCCTCTTTCACTCTCTTTCGTCCTCTTTCACCCTCTTTCGCCCTCTTTCACCCTCTTTCGTCCTCTTTCACCCTCTTTCGTCCTCTCTCACCCTCTTTCGTCCTCTTTCACCCTCTTTCGTCCTTTTTCACACATCTTTCGCCTCTTTCACCCTCTTCGTCCTCTCTCACCCTCTTTCATTCTCTCTCACTCTTTCATCCTCTTTCACTCTCTTTCGTCCTCTTTCACCCCTCTTTCGCCCTTTTCACCCTCTTTCGTCCTCTTCGTCCTCTCACCCTCTTTCACCCTCTTTCGTCCTCTCTCACCCTCTTTCGTCCTCTTTTACCCTATTTCGCCCTCTTTCTCTTTCTCTTTCGTCCTCTTTCGTCCTCTTTCACACTCTTTCGTCCTCTCTCACCCTTTTTCGACCTCTTTCAACCTCTTTCGTCGTCCTCTTTCACTCTCCTTTGTCTTCTCTCACTCTCTTTCATTTTTTTCACCTTATTTCATTCTCTTTCACCCTCTTTCGTCCTCTTCACTCTCCTTCGTCCTCTCACCCTCTTCTTATTCTCTTTCACCCTCTTTCGTCCTCTCTCACTCTCTCTCTCACCTCTTTCACCCTCGTACGTCCTTTCTCTCACCCTCTTTCGTCCTCTTTCATTTTTTCGTCCTCTTTCACCTTTTTCACCCTCTTTCGCCCTCTTTCGCCCTCTTTCGTCCTCTTTCACCCTCTTTCGTCCTCTCTCACCCCTTTTCATTCCCTCTCACCCTCTTTCACCCTGTTTCGTCGTCTTTCACCCTCTTTCATTCCCTCTCACCCTCTTTCGTCCTCTTTTACTTTCTTTCGTCCTCTCTAACCCTCTTTCATTCTTTCTCCCCCCTTTTAATTGCAATGAGTTTAAAAGTAACAATTTAATTTTAATATCATTAGAATATTATTTAGCAGCGCGCCCAGCTTTTTAAACTAAAATTTTATTCAGAAATAAATATTTTATCGGCTCTCAATATAAATAATATAAGTATGCTGTCTTCTAAGCTGGGCAATAGAGCCAAGGAAACGAAACGAAAAATTAATTAAACGGAACTGTATCTCAATTTGAGATCCCAAAGTTCCACATATAAATATTTCGAAACTTACATTTCTGAGTTTATTCACGCCTTGGGCTAATCACGGCGGTATTTACTAACATCTACTAAAAAGGCAAATTGAAAAATATAGGATCGAAAGTGTCTGAATAGCTTAGTTGGTAAGAGCAGTCGCCCGGAAAGTGAAAGACGCGGGTTCGATTCCCGCTTCAGCGACTTTTCGGACCTATATTTTTCTCGCTTATTTCTCCATATGTAAGTTTCGAAATTAATTTATATGTGGAACTTTGGGATCTCAAATTGAGATACAGTTCCGTTTAATTAATTTTTTGTTTTGTTTCCTTGGCTCTATTGCCCAGCTTAGAAGACAGCATACTTATGTAAAGAAACGCTTTCTTTAATTTAAACTGGGCGCGCCACGCATGCTCCACGCGCCTCTATCATGATTCGCCAAATGTCATAACAACACAATATGGGTAGGAAGACCGATGATCGAGAGAAAAGAGAGGGACTGAGTAGAAGAAGCACACGTGCAAAATAAATGTTAGAAAAAGAAACTAATTTGATTTCAATAAGTAATTTGATAACTAATATTAGTGAATTGGCTTGTAATTGTCGTTTCTCTGTTTTTCAGTGAAACAAATTCAAGCAATCATTTATCACCTCTCTATATCTGCGGAAAAAAACATCTTACAAAACGACAATTAGTCTACAAATACACAATGCAGAAGCTACGTTTTGAATTCGTTGTAGCAGCGGCAGATAAAGACCCGAAATCGAATACGTTGAACATAACCTCGATTACGACAGAAGAAGGAGAGAAGTATGAACTACCCGAAGAGTACAGAAACATAACCCATCACAGTGAACTAAAGAAGACAGATTTATACAATAAAGTAAAGGCTAATATCAAGAGACATGATAGAAGAATAGGATGGGTACAACTAACAGAAGAACTACGATCTGTATACTCAGATGAAATGGGAAATATACAATTCAAAGGTCAATTGCTAAACATTGCCTTTGGAAAGGACAAGAATCAAGATAGCATGTTAAATAAGTTGTTGGAACAGCTGGTTACATCCAACACAAAACCAGATAAAGAGATAAACTTGAAAAAGATTACAGAAAAATTTGTACTGGAGAAATATGCACATAAGACAACAAATACCCAGCAATGGATGAAAATGTTCGAGAAAGAATGTGAAAGATTCAAAATAGAAGAAAATAATATAAAGATTGAGGCATTGAGGTTATTCTTAGATAAATCTTGTATGGACTGGTATCAGGCAACACTTTCACAACTGGAGATAGATGATAACTGGCCAGAATGGAAGGAGAGATTTTTAGAAACGTTCGCAGATAAGGGATGGAATTCATGGAGATATGCCCTCGCATTTAGATACAAGGAGGGTGCCTTGATTAGCTACGCCACAAAAAAAGAACGATTGCTATTAGATGTGAATAAAAAGATGGATCCAGTATCATTAGTGGCTATTATAATTGCCGGAATTCCAGACTTTATAGCAGACAAAATAGATCAGGATGAGATTAAAGATTCAACTAGTTTATTTAATGAAATAAGGAAATATGAGAGTCTAACTAATAAAAAAATTGTTAAAGATTACAAGCTGGACAATAAAAAGAGGATTTTTGAAAAGAAACCATGTAGTACATGCGAGACTTTAGGGAAAGGAGCAAGATATCATCCCGAAGAAAAATGCTGGTTCAAAGAACATGAAAAGAACAAAAATAAATCCGGAATTATAGGAAACACGTCAGTACTAGAGGTGGAATTAAACAACCAAGAAAAAAACTTGTAATCACACCATTAATAAAAATAAAAATGTTACTAGATAGAAAATTAGAAATGTATGGAACCTATGATTCAGGATCCCAGATATCCCTGATAAATGCAAAACTGGTCAGAATAATAAACCAAAACGAGGATAAAAACAAAATACTCATAAAAACAGTTAATGGTGTGAAAAAAACAGATGGTCTAGTAACAATAAAGATAAAAATTTTGACATCGAAGATGAAGTAGATGTATTTATAGTAAACAGAGAAGATTTCGAAGATTTTTTATTGGGCTAGATATGATAAAAAAATTTAAGCTAACCCAAAACGAAGAATTAAAAATATTACAGGAAAAGGTAGATAAGACAAATGAAAGCAACAAGATTAAAACAGACACTGCGAGAAAAAAAAAGAGAAATATTAAACAATGTTCAGTGAACTTCAATGAACATGTAGAAGAAGATGACTTTCAAATAAAGTTAGAACATTTAGAAAAAATGAAAAAAAAGGAAATAGAAAAACTAATAGATGAACATAAATCAGTATTTGCCAAAGACAAGTATGACGTAGGAACCGTTAAAGACTATGAAGCTCGAATTGACCTGCTAGTGGACAGATACTGTAGCAAGAGACCATACAAATGTAATATAGATGATAAAAAGGAAATTGAAAAACAAATAGCAAAGTTACTAAAAAAGGACTAATTGAAGAGTCTTACAGCCCCTTCGCCGCGCCTGTTACGCTGGCATATAAAAGAGATGAAGAAAAAAAATCACGCCTTTGCATCGATTTCCGAGATTTAAACAAAAATATAATACCTCAAGCACAACCATTTCCACTAATAGACGATATCATATTAAGAGCCAGAAAATGCGGATACTACACAACATTAGATATAAATTCAGCGTTCTGGTCAATACCATTACGAATAGAAGACAGAAGCAAAACGGGATTTATAACCCAAGAAGGACATTTCCAATGGACTTGCTTACCATTCGGCCTGAAAACATCTCCGGCGATATTCCAACGAATTTTAAGCAACATATTAAGAAAACATGGACTAACGGAATATGCAGCAAACTACATAGACGACATATTGATACACTCACGATCATTTGAAGAACATCTGATTCACATAGCACGAGTTTTAGAAGCTATAAAGAAAAAAGGCTTCAGATTGAAATTCAGAAAATGTACATTCGCGGCTGACTCAGTTAAATATCTTGGACATATAATAGGTAACAATACGGTTCAACCACTGAAAGATAACGTCATATCAATCCAAGAATTTCCAA